CGGGTGGTGCTCTTCCGTCGACCATCTGTCAGCCATAGAACTCAATTCCATCCACCCTCTTCATCTTCTTCGCGCGCGTTTCCAACCACTTACATGACTCTTTCTACTTTCACCGCGTTTATTTAGAACGCGCCCGTTCTCCTCTTTATCTCAAGATGTCAATTTTCGTGAAATATTCGCGCTCTCTATCTCGCTAGAAACGTCCCTCTTTATGCTAAGCTGGACAAAATGTATTATCATCCGCGATAGCATGGTCCTCGTGCAATGACATATCGACGACACAACTAGACGACTAATATCTCGCTCGTGAACAGACGCGATTCCATACTGACGTTACTTCAATCGTAGCATCGAACCGTTATCACCGATTTATTGCGGGATATACAAATATCGGGGCTTCGTCAGCCGGACGAACTTTATAGATAGCGCTTGATCGAACTGACTAGATGCACCTCGAACGGAATAATGCTTCTTCGCTTTATGTTCCATTTTTCGCTACGAATACGAGTCGTTTGCCAAAACGAACATAGTCTTAAAATACTCGGCGAGAAATGAAACCATATTAAACGTTATTAGCGACGACGTCGTTTCAAAGCGGTTTTCATTTCGAGGCGGTACGTTAAATCGCGTCGCAAAGAAAGAGAGAAAAAAAACGGGAGAAAGAAAATATTAAAGAAGAAAGGAAAATAAAGGCGAAGAAGGAGAAAAGTAAGAACCGCGGACGTACAGCCGTAGCCACAGTCGTGGCATTAACGAAGACGCGGTCGGCCGTTCTAGCCTTTCCTCGAGGATTCATCTCTGTTCCATGTATCGTCGTCGACATCTAACAAACCAGCTGCTAGTCACGCGTATGAAAGGCATCTTACGTTGTATGTGTATGTACGTACGCGTACACAACTACCGAGCCATTTTCCGACAAGTTTCCATTTATGGAATCTAATGATACGCGACTCGTCTAGAAGGTTTCGCGTACTTGGGTATTCGCCTTTGCCAAGACATCGGTCTTTCGATTTTCTACCCGTTCCTCTATACCTTTCGAGTTGTTACTCCAGGCTCGAAACTTATCCGAGCTGTATCGCGTTATCGACGAAACAACGAGACGTCGCGTCGTTTTATCGTCTTACTGCCTCGTCAGAATCGTCGCATCGAGGATAGCTGCGTGAGAACGAGATGAAAGAGCCGTGCGTACGCGCGAAAGGATACGAGAACAGAATCGAATATCGAGGGGTGAAAATATAATAAGAACACGATGCGCGCTCCAATTTCTTCTATGCTCTCGATTGTACGCGGAAAGGCCACGTGTGGACGACCTTTTTTCTTCGGATTCATCGAGCCCCATTCTCGTTTCGAAGAATCGAACAATACAAATTTTACGCTCCCATGGCAAGCCGGATGCGATCACGATTACGCGAACAATTAGTCGAGGAAACGTACTCTTTTCTCTCTTTCTAAACGCATACGCGCTTATGTATGCCGGCTTAATAACGGATATACATCGATCGCGCGACTATTCGTTAGGTTATCGCATCCTGCAACGTCGATTCGTTAAAGTTACATAGAAAGGTACAATGAGATAAAGAACCGTGTCTTTGATATTTCGAATTTTGTTGAGAGACGCGCTCGTGTACAGCTCCAAATAACGAGAAACTATGTCGCCGCTGGTATTCGATTCATAATTATGTAGCACGTTGTGGCGATGCGACGTGCTGTTATTTACATCGAATCGTCGGTAGAAGGCGATCGATCGATAAACGAAACGAACAGCAAGATCGCGAAAGCGATGTAAACAGACAGGTGTGCGCAAGTTTGGAAGAATTATCGCGTCACAGATATAGAGCGATATATCCAGCGTAAGTCGATCCAATAATTTCCTCCACTTTTCTCTCGCTTTAGCTGCGGCGGCGGTCGTTGATCTCTAGTTGCCGCATGTACCAAAATAGTCACAATGATCGTGCTCCGTAAATGAACTTAGAACTAGTTTCGTCAAGGTCACTGACAAATCCGTCATTGCTTCGAACCAAGGGCGAAGACAGTAGAGATAATGCTTGTCTGATAACAGAGCCGGATTGTTCTGTTCCATTATCCGTAGAAACATCGCGACCACGAAGATTCGTCGATATTCGTTGGCCAAGAATAAAAGATAAAAAGACTTACCTTTTGGGCTTTGCAGGCTGCGGCTAACGGCAGTACATCGTGGGGATGGGCTGCGTGACGATCTCGAAGACAAAGAGCGCATATTGCGATCTTGCAAAGAGCGCAGTAAAGCGTCAACGTTTCGCCGTTGTGATCGGTACATAGCGGTGTAGTTTCCATGGCAGGGCCGCGAGCACCTTTACCTCCGTTCGATTGCCAGCTGCCCCGAGGCGGGCCCAGATTGTGCGTTGCCAAAGGTCCCCTTTTCGGATGACATGATTCTCTGCATCCGTCGCAGTACAACACCTAAAACAACCATCGCCGAATCTTTTAGTTTTCGTCGAAATTTTATCTTTCGTCTACGCGAAACGTCGATTCACCGATTCTATCCGATCGATACGTTCGAAAAGGTAAATAAACATACGTAAAAATACTACTCTCGGTTTCGTCTCGACTTCTTCACGCGCCAGATGCGTTTCCTTAATTTCGACTCGACGCTTGTCGATCGTAATCATCGAGAAACGTAAAAACGTAAGAACAAAGAAAGGGATATTTTTAATCGCGTAATTACGTAGCAGGTTATCGCGCCACTGAAACAAACTGACGGATGACGTATGGACATTTGCATACGCGTTTTACTCGCGTGTATGTCAAAGTTTATAGCGGATACATTCGCAGCGATCGGATGGATATAGAACAAGATAGAAGAATAGAAGAATCGGGAAGAGAAGAGAAGAAACGCGAGGAAAGAAAAGTACAGAGGAGCGTTAACCAACCTCGCATTGCTCGCAGGCGACAGTCGCGTCCCGAGGTTCGGCTTCGCACATTTGACATTGCAGTCTCGTGTTTCTCGATTCTTGATATTTCTCTACGATATGTTGCATGGCCCTGTACTTGGGCAAATTGTGAGCCCCTCCTTCGTCGAAGTAAACGGTTTTCTGACAAACGGGACAGGAGAGACACAAAGTGCCTCCTGACGGTGGAAAGCCTCCGTTTCCGGGTGTGCCAACATAGCTTCCTGGTCGCGAGCTGGTCGACGTGCTGCTGCACACCACTCCGGAATCCGTCTCGGAAAGAATCGAGAGTTTATCGGCTTCCTGGTCGGATCCTGGCGCGTTCGATGAATCGGTTGTCGACTCCGGGGGAGAATCCGGGGGTGCTTGCAGATTAACAGCGCACGCCAGACAAAGGGCATGCCAACAGGGTAAAAGTACCGGCTCGACGAATAATTCTTTGCAACAAGGGCATCGTAGCTCGTCCTCCATCCTCGCGAGTCCTCGCGAATCTTCGCGACGAGAAAAAGACTCGTCGCGCGCGCGCCTTCCAAGTACGAGTACTTACTTCTCGCTGACCTCCACCAACCGTTTGCTGACTCTCTTCCAATCCCTGCACTCTCAGCTTCTTCTCTATTTCGATCACGCTCTTTCTTCTTTCGCAATTCTTTCGAACGTTCCCGCTACGCTTTCTTGTATTTTCTATGATCTCTCTCCTGCAACATACCTTTCTTTCCACGCCTACAACAATATTATGCTCCTTCGTCCAACGAAAATAACGACGCGCGGCAATGTACCGCTTTTTCACTCCGGTAAACTAGAAATTTTATTTCGATGGCGGCTTCTCGATTCATTCGGTACAATGATACACCACCAGAACGGTGTACCCTCTTTTCTCAAAGTGAATCACATTCGTTCGGGGAGATCATTTCGTATCTTGTCTTTCTTTCGATTATCCTTCGTCCATCGATTGCACGTACATCACATGCGATCCATAAAAGTACCGACTTTACATTTTTCACTGATCCAGTTTGCAAGAGACGCCCAACGCAACTACTGTATATCTTACTTCTTCTCAACTAAGCCCACTCAAATTTCGATTCGATTCGATCTTCAAATTACTACCGTGATTACACCAATTTATCATTTAACTAAGTATGTAAATCTATTATTTCGTTTCAGTTTTATAATTACCGGCACAACAAATTCACCATACGACACACATTGCGAGACGTCACCGGGTTGACTGACTCCCGACGCCGTAGTACCTTTGCGCATCGTAGACGCGCACTGTGGTTCAGGGACGACATTCGCCATTTACCACCCGGCCATCATACAGAATATTCATTTTTTACTACTTTCGCGTCTCTTTTGTATCTATTCCTTTGCTGTACCCACTAATATGTAATATACATACATACATATATACATATATATAGACGTATTATTTTTCGTGATTCATTTATGCATCTCTAAAAATGTGTCATTAATATCGTTAGACTTTCAGACGATGTAAGTATACATGTACATAGATAGCCGTAAAAATCATATAAAAGCCATTGGTAATCACAAATGATACATACTTCCCTGTTGTTTCGTCATATTCTATTGAAAAGAGTTGCAAATGGTCCACGTTATTTGCTATATAATTGTTATAACATAAACAATTTTGTCAAATTTTCATTTCGATGACATTTTTTCGATATTCCTCGTCCATCGATTTTTTAAATAACTCGTGATACACGCACCTAAACGTGTGCTACTTGAAATCCGATCACAACAAGCAACAAATTTTCATCATATCTCGTTCGCTCATGGACCTAAAAAAAGATCGATGGTAACTAGGAGAGACAAAAGAATGTTGATGAAGGAAAATTCGTACGTAAATAAAGAAAAATAAATTCAGATTGCTAGATTCTCGATTGCATCGCCTTGTGTATCATAATTTTAATTAAAATAACAAAATAAGTTTATTTGTTTCTTTCTACATCGATTCTCTCCTTCGCTTTTAATCGATAAGATAAAATTCATGTATCCACGTGCAAGGATAATTACGAACTTAATGATATGAAAAGAAACCCGTAGAGGCGCCACATACTAGGTAATACTACACAACTTTATCAAGCGACATCAGGCACACACTGAAAATTGACGTCACAACTATGCATATATTTGTTGGTTCGGTAAGCGAAAAAATGTACGATTAGGAGATATTTCACGTAGAATTTCATATGAGATGACAATTTTTCGAAAATTTGCAGGTAAGAGAATGCTTCATGGTCCGCTTGGTTATTCTTCCTTCATTGTTGGTTAACGCACGTGCTTTTTATCATATCTGTATATGTACATCATGTTAAAAATATCATTGAAAATTTGGTAATGCAAATTAACGAAAGGTTAATCAAATAAACACGTATTTTTGTGCAAACATATACATCTAAACGTAATGTTAATTCTTGATAATGGTGTTTCTTTAAACTCAATCGAATTCAAGCATGACACGCCATAACACATGATTTCCGAAATATCAATATATGTACATGTTTTAACGCATACTTGGAAACATTATTTTCTCAGAGTTTCGAAAAAAACTGATTCTCATCTCTCTTTTTTTTTTAGCAAAATTTCATGTGGTTGATCATCGTACAAAATCAAATATGTTTACATTATTGACAAAAAGAATTTTGTTACCGCAACTTATTTGTGCATATCGTTGTAGATCCACTTCCAGGTTAGTCGATTTTATAAAGTGTTATACCTTTTTATTTATTCGACCTGAATTGATATTAATCCAAAAGAGATATCGTAAACAGAGACGGCCTGGGGCTTACAGTTTTACCGGGATATTATTAACACGACTGGTCCTCCATTTTTAGTTCATTAATTAAATTTTAGATAGAGTGCCACCAAATCCGTACCGGTCCACAGGGATTTTTCCCAATTTCCCCGATGTCCCCGACCAGTCCGCTGCTGATGGCAAAATTTAAAAACTAACTAACGTACAGCGCGCAGCTTTCAAATTGCACGAATTAAATGAAATTATAAATACATATTATTTGTAACTAAATAATTTCAGTGCAGAATCATGTGGCGCGTTCGATTTAGTTATCGTTGGAGGGGGCATTGTTGGATGCGCCACTGCACGAGAAATGTTAATAAGACATCCTAACTTAAAGATGGCGATCGTTGAGAAAGAAAACGCTCTGGCGATGCATCAAACAGGACACAATAGCGGTGTAGTACACGCTGGAATTTATTACAAACCTGGCAGTATGAAAGTAAAAACATAGCAACAATTGCATGTTTCTTAACGTGCCTCCTCTTCTTTCCTTTTAAAAGAAATATTGCTTTGCTCGAGTACAATATGACATTTTAACTGTACAGTAGAATAACGCTTCGTTAAGAGATTTTTGATCCGGCAGGAACTGATTGCAGGCAAAACTATGCGTGGAAGGATTAAAGCTATCCTATGAATACTTCTGCAAACACGATATACCTCACAACAAAGTTGGAAAACTTATAGTAGCTCAAAATAAAGACCAAATTAAAAAATTGGACGATTTATATGATCGAGGAATAAAAAATAACGTACCGGATCTCCAATTAGTTGGGAAAGATTGTATATCGAAATACGAAGCTAAATGTCAAGTATTAAAATTATTGTGTTGTTTTTGTAATCGTAAAAATAAGAAACATATATATGTATATATGTATATCTTATATATATATAACATATCTTAGTATATATATATATATATATATAAGAAAAAACTATTACGAGTTTCAAAGACTATAATAACAGGAATAATACGTATCTGCTGTACAGGGAGAAAAAGCATTATGGTCACCGTGGACAGGTATAGTCGATTGGGCGGTGGTTTGTAAATATTTTGCCAATGAATTTCAAAAAATGGGTGGGAAAGTATATTTAAATTACGAAGTTACCGGTTTCTCGGAAATGACAGAATCCAAAGGCAAGGAAGAATTATCTCCGATTTTAGTACAATCGAAAGATAAAGTACGTTTAGATGTTACGCGCAAGTTCTATAATGCGCTATATAGTTCTATCATGCGTAACTTTTTTTTATCTTGTTGTTATATCACAGTGTATCCCGACAAAATATGTGTTAACGTGTGCTGGTTTACACTCGGATCGTCTAGCAGTAATGACAGGATGTGATCTTAGTCCACGTATCGTTCCATTCCGAGGCGAATATTTATTGCTGAGCGATAGCAAAAAGCATTTATGCACCACCAATATATATCCTGTTCCAGACCCTAGATTCCCATTTTTGGGCGTTCATTTTACTCCTAGGGTCAATGGCGAAATATGGCTTGGACCAAACGCAGTTTTAGCATTTGCCAGAGAGGGTTATCGGTACATAAGCTAATAAGTTTTAATTGTATATAATATTTGAATATGCAATTACTCATTATGACATATTCTTAGGTGGCGCGATATAAATATAAGAGACTGTATAGAAATGGCAAAATTTCCCGGATTGTATAAACTCTGTTTCCGGTACTTTATACCAGGATGCAAAGAAATGATTAAATCAATTTTTTATCCACTTGCACTCAGAGATTTGCAAAAATTTATTCCCGAAGTATCCTTTAGAGACGTAAAAAGGTAAACAAAAGACTCTAATATTTCATATTTTATCCTATCGCGGCCAATCGATCATTTTTAATGCATTTATTTACTTACACAGAGGACCAGCGGGTGTTAGAGCACAGGCATTGGACAATAATGGTAATTTAGTAGACGATTTTGTATTCGATGGAGGGAAAGGTAGTATCGGTGGTAGAGTGATGCATTGTCGTAACGCACCTTCTCCAGCGGCAACCAGCGCCATGGCAATAGCTAAATTTATTGCCGATAAACTGGAAACTGATTTCAAGCTTTAACGAGTCTGTAAACTTTAATCTTTAGTTAGAAGGAAATTTAAATAATGAATACTCAAATTCATTGTGTCCAATAATACATGCAAAATTGAAAATTTATGTTTTATGAGAATAAGCATGTGCGAAAATGTATGCACGAGAATAACTTGTGCTCATGACTCGTGTATATGTAAATCGTAACATGCAAAAAAACATATTTTGTGTTTTTTATGGAACAAAACATTCTTATTACGAAGGACATTCTCTAAAAATAATATTTTAACTTTATGTCACAATATTATTATAACAAGATACAATAATTCTACTATCCATCTTTTTCACTTTTTTCTTTTCCTTTCCCTTCCTTTCCTTTCCTTTCTTCTTTTATTATTTGCCTTCTTTGTCCTATTGATTATTTCGGGAATTTTTTAGTCTATATAATTACCATTATCGAATAGAAATATGAAAATTGCTAATTTTACGTTCATCGTCGTCGCGATGTTGATAGAACGTAAAGCATAGAATTTGAGTAAGTGGAAAGATATGATTTTAAACTCCATCGTGATAATTTGAAAAAATTTAAGGCTGAGGTATCTTTCATAGTTGCTTAAAAATGCAATTGCATTTATATGAAATTACGTTAAATTATTTTAAACCCTGTTCCTGATATAATGAGACGCGAATTTGCAAAGTCCCAAGCTGCAGTCGTGTGGAACCCCATATTCGAAAGAACAACTCCATATTCACTTAAAGCAAACATGGAATAAACTGCAATGAAATGAGCGCATCTCATGAATACCTACTATTGTTTACTTGGTTCTGCTGAAATCAATTGACTCACCTAGAGGTTCACAATATTTATTGTGCCTATAAAAAAAGTAACAGGCAAATATTATACAGACTAAATTTAACATCATGGATCTTCGCTTCCACTTTAAGGAAGTAACTTCGGAGGATTCCTTAGCAATGTTACGACAATTTCTCATGATAAAATATGCTATCTGCATATGAATAAAAGACGTTATTAAAAACGTTATGAAAGATAATTTGTGGAAGGCTGAAATAATACAAATTATGTTTTATATTTCAAACATATATCACGCACCGACATCTTTTATACGTACCATAATTTTCAACAGATGTCCAAAAAGTTAACGTTACAAGAGATATGTTTTCAACAGCATAGGTAACTGTCACAATATTACAAATATTTTGTGCCCATTTATAGATATGTTCTTTATAATAACGACGATACATTACTAATACTAAAATTCGTATCGAAGCCTGTATGGCTATTGCAATTTTCCAAACATCTCTTTGTGGTCTATAATGTCCAATAGCAGCAGAGACAGATGGTAAAAAGTTATAAACCTAGCATAGAAGATAATATTACATACATACATACAGACGTGAGCGCGCACGCACACACAACTTATGTTTGTGCAAATATTTTCATAATTTTATATCAGCATGGAAAATATAGTTACCTTACAATGAGTAGAGGTAGAATGCTCAAAATTGTATACGATAGACCATATAATACAAAATATAAATGCGAAAAAGGGCAGAGATACGGTAAACCATGCTATTTTAGCAAAAGGTAAAACGAATCGCGCTTTCAACATGTCGCCTTCCACTAGCGGAATATATTCTGACCCTATTCTGGACTTGTTCATCGTATTATATTCTAGATTATAATTTACGTCATCGAAAACCATCGAATACCCTTAATAGGCTAAAGTGCAAAACGTTTCATCGGTACGCGTAACACGCGTTCCGTTTTTCTTTTTCTTATTACGTTGCTCGGTGTTAAATACAAAATGTCATATCGAATCGAATAATCATTGTGAAATTTCGAAGAAAGACAATTTAACGCGGCCAACAATTTCGATTCTCTTGTCACTAACATTTTTCACATGAAATTTGAGGAAAGGCACAATAATATCATCTTAATGCAAATATAATCGATCACTCGTCGCATACACAATACTCTACACGACATACATCATGACGCAGGAAAAACGAGAGTAAACAAACTAAAATTCTCTATAATGTTTCATACTTCCAATTCCAGATGGCGCTAGTTGATCACTTGCTATTTGCGACCTTTCACATTGGTACTTTACAGTTTACATCGCCTACGCCCTACGCCATCAGCTGTTTCGCTTTTATGTGTTGTTTCATACGGTGATATCGTACGAGTGGTGTTTTCGTTTACTTTTACGTTTACATACACTTTTATATAGGGGAACCTATCTTAGTTTAATGAAAATGTTATACAACGCGAAGGAAATGTTAATGAAGCAAATCAAAATTTAAAAATATTTCGAATAAATGTGCTTAACTTTTTGAGGTTAGATTTTCGAGTGATTAAAAAAAAGACAGTTTTATAGGAACTATTTATTTCATCGTTCATAATCAATGAAGACGCATTAGGAATCCTTCTCCAGGACTTAAAAGATGTAAGTACAGTATTATACAACTTTTTTTGATAGTAAACACATATATATATTCATTTATATGAATGCTTATATGTACGTATGTACATCGAACATTCTTACATACATTTATTGCTTCTCTTTCTCGCTTTACACTTGTATGTACGTGTACGTATCTTTACGTGAATACATAAAAAATACATATTCAATAAACATCATTGCATCTTGTCATGCCGGACTACTTTTTTCATTATTACACTACGCACGTAACTGGTTTCTGATTCGTTTAAAATCCGCATTGCAGTTTCTTCTAACCTAAAAGTTCAATATTTTTAAACAGAACAATAGGCAGTTATAATACTAAGTATTTCGTACTCGTTGTGGAACAGAACAGAACGCGGTAATACGAATAGAAATGTTGGCAATCGTTATGCTGTTGGCAAATTTTTGTGCAATAAGCGTCGATGAAACGAGCACAAGGACAGTTGTGGAAAAATTCAATAGTGCTGATACGTTAGGAGTTTTGATGTAGTAATAAAAATAAAGCGGGAAAAGTAGCGAAAAAGATAGGATTTGGTGAGCGAAAAAGAGAGAACCGAGAGAAAGAAGTAAAAGAGAATTTAGCTAGTTTCAAGTTTCGATCAAATTAGACGCAATGCGTCGAGAGGGTCTGCCAGAAGACCACCGCAAGAATACAAAATCACCGTATTGCACTGAGAGGCAAGCACGAAACCATTTCGGTACTTCTTACCTACTTGCTTATTGGCAACCTCGTCGATTCAAATCTGATCGACTCGTATCATATCGTTTCGAATTGTATTGTATCTATCGTACTGTATTGTATCATTCACCATGCCTCGTTCTTTCAGGAGCTGTTTACTTTTCCGATTCTGTTCGTATTGTCGTCAACCGACTTCCTCTCAGAGAAAAATCGATATTTATCGATATTTCTAGAAATGATTAACTTTCGTTGCTACATTCCGAATGTTTTATATCGAACATCGCATTAAGATGTATTTAAATCAACAGAAAAGGAATGTCAGGAGAAACTGCAGAAAAGCTACCTCTTCTCCGATTTCAATGATTTTGAAGTATGTTACAAACATCAACATTTTGAACAACTACTTCTTACGCATATAAACGATAATCGATCTCGGTTTCCGAGATATTCGCAAGAAACTGTCGGTACCATCATGGTGAATTCTGCCTATATTGTGCGTGCGCAGCAGCGTATTCATCATTATTGGTTGCCAACCACCTCACGGCACGGCGGTCGGATAAAATAACGCCTAACCTAAATCTAATTTTTATCTTTTGTGTATAGTTTATATAGGTTTGAATTAAATGTCACTTTACCCAGACGTTGCGCCGTGACGCGGCCGACAACCAATAATGACGCATACGTTGTTATGGACGCACAATTATGGGCAGAATTCATTGTAGCGATGCCGATAGTTTTTCGCAAATATCTCGGAAACTAAGTCCAACCGTCGGTTATATTTATAGGAAGGAGCCGTTCAAAATGTTGATTTTTGTAATATATTCGAAAATCATCGAAATCGGAGAGCAGATAGCAGTTCCCTATAGTTTCAAATGTCGATTTCCTGAACTCGAAAGTAAATGTAAGGAAAAGATTCGTTTCCGCATATCTTATTGGTTAATTCGCGTTTTAACGAGGTGCGAGAAAATCTATATGCGTCTTGGCAAACAGAGACTATCAGCTACGCGCTTGAATGAAAGCAGAAGTATCGTTGTCTCCAACTTCTATTCGTGTCAAATAACATAAAGTGAGTAGATTATGTACGAATGGACCAACTCCCCCTCTATCTGCTACTGTCTTTTCTTGCCCCTTCCCTTTCCATCCTTTGCAGTTGCATAAGCGCAATAGGTAGCTACATACACGTGTCGACACACGCAAATTGCTCCGCTACAAAAGATTACCGAAAATACACAAATCGAACTTGTACGTTTATTGCAATTTGCGGAATGTGCAAAACGAACCATATTACGGCTGATCTGTACGCGGAATGATGAAAATGACACGATCTCGCTGCATAGAATCGCGTGACAAAAATAATTGCACTATATCGCCCTGCAATGCGAGATTACCTTTATCGTTGCATCTTCGTTAACTAGCATTTTTTCCTCGTTCATCCAACGACCGAGTTTAAATTCAGAATAATCATCTCGACAACGTTTTTTTTTTTTCACAAGTAGAAATCGTTTGGTAAGCCGCGTGTAACAGTTGCACTACGGTGTAAAGTATTCTACCGCGTTACGTTTTACGTAATAATGCCGTTAAAAATTCTGTCTCGTTTAAGGCAAATTGGATCGGCCGCAGGCGGACCGATTAAAATCGACCAGACAACTCAAACAGATACCTTGTCGCGCTATTTCAAAGCTCGTCCGAGCCGTGTCCGCTACATATCTATAATTACTAGATACGCTATATAAATACACGCATACCTATACACTTTTCTTCGCGAAGCCATGTCTCATCCCCGTATCCTGATAATCCTGTCGATGTTTGTTTATTTTTATGAATCATAGGCACAAGCTAGCGCCGCCACCGCGCTTTGCGGACTAAAAAAGCGAAGCCAACGCGGAGAAAATGTATTGAGAAAAATGTTTTGACTTTGGCCGTAAAATTTCATTGGAAAAAGTTTAAGAGAATAATCGCCTGGACGCGAGATAAAAGGGACACAGACTCTCGTATCGTGTAAGATCTCTTCTCACGATATCATCGTATATTTGCCAGTTTTCCGGGATAGCGCCACGAATAGCGCCACGTTTGTCGTAACCTCGATACGTTGTCGGGACAGAGTGGCAGAGCATCGGCGAACTCACGGCGCCGCCCGATTTTCAAACTTTATTCTACGCGTTACTAGTTGGCTGGTTGGATCGTTTCGAGTCCGGGCTACTATCCTTAAAAGAGGCAAAGATCGAAACTTTCGGAAATAGACGATATCTTCGTAGCGTTGGTTAATTGCAAGTAGAAAGCTAGTCTTCCCTAGTTTTGTTTCTACTTTTTCATCTCGTACGAAAGGGGATCGAGCAAGCGAGCGACAGAGACAGAGACGGGGATAGAAAAAGTAGAAACGAAGGGAGAAGGAAGAACGAACGCGAAGAGGAGAAAAGAGACGCAGTGAATCAAAGCGAGAATGGGTCAGAGAGAGGTGTCGGGGGAGCAATGCGGCTGGGGTGTGAGGGAGGAGAGGGCAAAGGGACGGGGTGTATCGGAGGGTGAAGTTGCGCGGAGTGGAAAGCGGATAAAAGAGACGGGAGGATGCGCGCAGGCGTGAAACGGACGCGGTGAACGCTCGGCATCCGCGTGGCGCGAGTTAGAAGTTGGCTTCGCGCTTTTAGTCTCAGCTCGTGTCCCTTGTCTCGTTCATCCTCGTTCACCCGTCTTCGTAGAGGAACGAAGAACCAAGAGTCGTTGCCGAGACATCGAATTCGTCCCGACCGAGTCTCGAGTCGTCGAACTTGCAAAGGCAAGGGGAAAGCAAAGGAAAGGAAAAGAAGTTAAGAGAAAGAAAAAAGAAAAGGAAAGAAATGCATGGCGTTACGATGAAGCATGTCGATGATCCGGTCGGCGTTGACCGTTCTCATGTTTCGATGTTTGGTACGAAACGCGTCCTTTCGTAGCATCGAAAGAGCACATTTCGATGGAAAGCGCGACCGGAAAAAGAGAAAATGTCCGAGAAGTGTACAATCGGCGAGCCGCAGATACAAAAAGTGGGACATGACGGCATTCTCGAAGACAAAATAGGGAAAAAGAAAAGTACCGCGCAACGACGATGGCGCATCCTCGCTAAGGCGCTGATCGGCCCCCAGGAACCAATTTCGGTGGACACGGAGCACGAGATCTCGGTTCGCCGTTTCACCAGTTTCGACTTGTTAAGAGTGGACCGCATGGAGAGCAGTGCCGCGGATCCAGATTCCGCAGTTTGGTACGAATATTCGACAGTTTTAGAGAACAAGCTGTTTACCGTAGAGATCCGTCGATTAAACAAGAATTTTACTGCGAACGAATTGATCGGCTTCAACAATACCGGCAACATCTGCGTCTGGCCGTCGGAGGAATGTTTGGCATACTATTTGTTGAAAAACCGACAGCTGTGTCGAAACAGAAAAGTCCTCGAACTCGGCGGCGGTATGAGCTGTCTGGCAGGGGTGATCGTCGCCAAGTACTGCGATCCGAAGGAAATCGCACTGACAGATGGCAACGTGACCAGCGTGAACAACGTACGACGTATCATATTTAGGAACGGTATGACCGATTTCGTGGATTGCGGCGTGGTTCAATGGGCCAAAGCGGCCAGGGCGATCAGGGCAGCCAGATCGGTCAGGGCGTTCGCACACCCGCACCCCAACGGCCTTCGAGTCAAGGTGAATTCTTCTTCTCGCGTCTATTACGCGTCTCGTCTTGATCACGCGCGCGCCCCTCTATCGTCTCGTTCACCTCCTCGTAGAGTAGAGCGACGATGATAGGGAAGCAGCAACTATTCCGTACACGATGGGAACACGCGGTGCACGTTACATACGCCACGCGGTAGCCCCGCTAACCTAACGCACCGCACCGCATCGCGCGCGAGCTTTCCAGCGTTCGTCCTTTCTCGAGCTTTTCCATCAACGAGAATCGCGCGTGCGCGCTTTTCTCTAGCACGATGCTACGGACAAATTCCAGTTGGTCTGCCGCGACCCTTTATGCTTGAGTTTTCTCTCGTTCTTGACCGATCGCGATCCGTTTTTGTTCCTTCGAGAATCGCGAAAACGTTTACCCTTTGAACGAGACGAGCTCGCGATTTCCTCGATACGTTACGCCAATTGTACCTCCGAGTCGACGATTACAAAAATTATCGCCACTACGTAATTCGTTCGATGCACAACGAACACGACGACCACAATGTCTCGTTCGCTGCCGCACCAATTACATTTTTTCTGCATCTCGTACCGCATCAATCGTTTGCTCGATCGATCGGTGTTCCCGTGTCATCGTGATTGAGATCATCGTTGTCGTCGTCGTCGTCGCCGTCCTTGCTGATTAAAGCCGCAAAGTGCAACGGAATTTTCACTCGTCGTTCGATCGAAGCTGTTCGAGTGTTCGGTAAAAGCTTGGGAATTTCTGAATTGAATTTTTACCGGTAGAGCTGGACTGGCGGCGCCAAGGATGTTGCAAAATTTACGGGAAAGCTATACGACGTGATCCTGTGCGCGGACTGTCTCTTCTTCGACGAGGCTCGGTCAGACTTGGTGGAAACGATCTACGGTTGGCTGGCAAACGACGGCGTCGCCTTGGTGATGGCGCCAAGACGAGGATCTACTTTCGAGCAATTCACCGAAGCAGCGGTAAAACGAGGTTTCGTCGCGCGGCGAATAGACCGTTACGATGGAATGATTTGGTCGAGGCATCTGGAGCTGTTGGAGCACAGCCAGGAGTATTGTCCAGACCTCCATTATCCGATCCTTTTGGAGCTGACCAAGCAAAAGAAAACGTCACCCGGATGATACGTGTCGATGGTCGAGCAGCTCGCCAACAAGATCACCATCCACATCCACATCTAGATTCAAAGAGTTCCTCCCTGGCCCATTTTATCTCGATTCCGGGCCATTCCCTTATACCATTCCGTTACTACCCGACTAGTTTAGCTTTTCCACCCGATCGATTTTTACCTCTTTTTCTCTGCTTTTTCCTCTATGCAGTCTTCTCTCGAATGGGCAATCGAATATTTTTCGCCATCCATATCCGTTCTTCGAATATACCTAATATCATAAGTAGCTACCAATTTAAAGCAACTACGAACGTGAAATCGTACTATCGAGTATAATCGAATCGTTCGAAAACGCATTCGATGAAACGTTAACCGATATACATACGTGTTTCTACTATTAATCGATAGTTACGGTTAAAGATTGCTTTTCCATTACACGATACGCGTTACCCGAACCAGTTGTAAACGATAGTATTTCAAGTACCTGATGTTAGACTGATAGAAGCGAAAAATGGCAATGGCGATTCTCGTAAGTGCACTGGGACAGTTTATCGCTGCGAGAATAGAAAAGAAATTGGCATTCGTACGTATCCAGCGTGGATTATAGAAATAGTCGTGCGATTGTACGATAAAGGAAACGTAAAGAAAAGGACACGGTAAAGGCGTATACGGTAACACGTATACACGGTTTATCCGATAACGCTTGTTTCGTTCCTCCCCTCGTTAGACTTTAAGAAATCAATTTTTCCTAAAAACGGCACATGTTTGTCCGTGTTTGAAGAAATTTCGAGTTTTCTTTCATATATCAACGCTGTTATGACAGCAACGGTCGGCGTACGAGCAGATCGAAGCTAACGACCAACGTCAATCGCTATCGTAAATCTTCTTCGCGAATGCTTTTTGCCGTTTATATGCCACCTTTTCGATCTAGCTTTCAATCGAGGGTCCAAAACGATCTTTCTACGAGATAAAGACGAAAGACTTTTTTACATGTAGCCGTATGTATATACGTACTATGGATCCGTATATCGTTGCGCGTTTCAGCAGCTCTTTAAGTTCGATTAAAATTATCTTTTTTTTCTTTTTTTTTTTTTTAAATAAACGCTCCATAAACAAACGAACTTTCGAATTAATCCAGCGATGCGGTATACGTACAAAGTGTATATACATCGCGGTAAATGCCAATTCGAACTACGCGATTAATATTTATACGTACGCGTAAATATTTATTCGTTCGTATCGATCGAACGAAAATGATTTTTCTGAAATATCTGAAATCCTGATGATTACCAAGTATAGCACAATTTCCTCCCTTTCCTTTTCCCTCCTTCTCTTCGTTCCTTTCCTGCTTTATCCTCCTTTTATCTATATATTTTCTTTCACCTTTTCCCTTACAAACGAGTTGCAGCGCAGACCGAACAATTACTACAAAGGACCAACCTAGTTCAGCATAGTCAAAGCTACCAAATTTCCATTGTTGCGTACTTATCTGTATCATTACGGAGATAACGACGAGTATTTGTACGTACGTGCGTATGTGAGTATAGATGTATGTGTGTCAGATATGTAAGGAAATTATTACAAATAAAATATTTTCACTTATTCCTTTGAATATGGCGTTTTGCGATCGATCCCAATCGTCTAGCAATTTTTCGATTACAACTAGTGCTAGCCAGGTGCTCTCGCACAATTTCACTTTCCTGTCAAACGACAGAGAACGTCAAACGGCGTTCTACAATCTACACGTGCTGTCTTTTCATCGATTTTATACCTATACTTTTCTACGATATTTTTCTTTTGCTCTCCGTCTCGCGTTATCGTCATTTTCCTCGTCTTTTCTTTTTTTCTTTCTCTCGTTCTTTCTTATTTGCACGATATATTTCCGATTCGTACGATCGATCGTTAATCGACTAATAATTATGCAGTACGATCATCATAATTCGTGCTGATTATTTTTAGCTTCCTGTTGAAAGGTTTGGATAGAAAGTACGTTCATCGTATCCGTTTACATATTTATTATTAGTACTTGGTAGATGTTTACCGACCTTCCCCTATATAGAACTACAATGCAATGCAATCATGTATGGCGTTCTCATCGATTGAAAAAAATGCTCTGCCTGTGCTATTATTAATCGCCGTTAGTAATCACTGTTTGTTGTATGGAACAAAAGTGATGTAATCAAGTTCCGCAAATTTATCGATAGAATCGCCGTTCGAAATTCCGATGCATCTCATTGACAAGTAAAATCGACGTCGAATCGTTCGAAAGCTGTATCGAACCTGCCAACTGGACTACCGAATCCTAACGTAACCGGTTTGTCACTGTTTCATAGTTGTGTTATCGTTGTCCATGAAACCCACGTGGACCGGTGCATCCTCTTTTGGATTTTCCGTATTTGCCCGCCACTCGAAGAAAATAAATGCACGGATATTCGTGTAAAAATACATGGAAGATCATCTTTTTACGTTAATCGATGGACGATCGGAGCGAAATTATTCAACTATTAGGCATCGTAAGCAGTTCTCCTGCTTTCCAATCGTAGCTGCCTTCCAGCCACTGATAAACAAACGCATTGATCGAATCGAACGACTCAAATAGAATTTATCGAATATTGGTGCATGGAGACTCGCAAGAAGAAAGAGAGAGCGCGCAAATGCGACAGTAAAGAGCCATAATAGGATGTTGCTTGCGCTTCGTAGATAGGACTACTCGAAACAGGCCACATGGAATAACGGTGAAACAACAGATAAAGATTTTCCCTACTTGCGTGTATATTTAGAGCGAGTGGAATTGGAACGGTTGGTCGTTTATCAGAATTTTCATATCGTGTACCTGTTCCATCGTTAATGAGAATGACATGGCTGCTGTATGCATTCATCTAACGCGTATATTGATTTCCAGCATTGGGCTCGTTATAAATTGTATAGGTTCTCGCGAATGTTGGTGTTCTCTGGTAAAAGATATTCGTCGTGATAAACGACACCATGTGTTTTATTCGTTATTCGTATTAGTTAATCGTGAACAGTGGCAAAAAAAGACGAACGAGCCACGAAGTAACGACATTGATATTGCACGCGGTTTATAAGACGCGTCTTTTAAACGTTGAAACACGTATACAACCCCCCAAGATAAAATTAGAACAAACCACGAACCTTTTTTCCGCTCGAGCGTAGAGCTATAAAACGATGTAACAAACCCGGTTCGGAACGGCGCCATATATTTTCAAATCATTTGGCCGTCGAAATTCTCTTTTAAACAATTTCAGGCAAATTCTCGTTCTGACAATCTAATAACGTAACGATAATGTCTGTAAGCTTTGAGGGAAAGGCTTTGCACGGCCAAACATGTAATACTTATGAACGAATAAATACGATCGCGTTCCATCCTGTACCATCTTTCCTGTCTAAAAATAAATCGTTGCGTAAAATTAAGGGCGTGCCTGATGGGTACATCGTGGTGGTCGTGGTCGTGATCGTGATCGTCGTCGTGGTCGTCTCGTCGTCGTTGGTCGTCTGGGAAATTACATTTCATAGGTGCCAATTGTTTTTGGCTGACCGCTACTCGAAATTTATCAAAGATTTTTCTGACTCGCAACAAGCTAGTTTCGCAAGCTGATTCTCCGTTTGAGCAACTTCATCCTACGTCCTACGGATGGTCATACGATTGGACGATTGCTTAAAACGAATCTCTGTTTCCCTCTGTCAGCATCGTTTCAAGATGTGTACGATCATTCTCGAAAAAATTCCACCCGCTTTGGATATAAACGCCTATCTTGATCAAACACTCATGCCAAAAAGTAAGCACGGAAATATACTCTGGTGTTGGCCGATTACAAGAACGGCATCGTGGCTGACGGTTCTATTCGCGTGCTATACGTTCGACTGGCGAGGATGCTGGTGGATTTCGAGCCTCGAACAATTTTGCCCTCGCCCTCGCTGCGAACAACTACGTACACCGAACGTCCTATCGAGCCTCTACCGAGCGCACTTCCGTTCCATTAAAAATCGAGAAATCAGCAGGAAAAAGGTCGTCGATTATAGATAGATAAAGTTGTTGCCACGTGTACTATGAAACGAACGTGTTTAACAGTCGTAATGTTGCGACAGAGAATTGCGGAAAGTACGAACGATGCACCTAACACAAAGATACCGGGGTACCAATTGGCTCCTAGACGATTAGCTAGTTGGCCAACCTTAATCTTCCCGCTACTTATTTATAGGCTTGTGTTACTATTAATACACGCTCTATTATTGTCATAACGTGGCATTGTTGAAGGAATCGCGATTTGTTCGATGGACGACTAGCGAAAATAAAAAGGTCGAGTGTTATCGCAGACAAAACGCGTTCAAACGAACGAACGCGATCATCCGATCATGTAAATTTCAGTAATTCCCAAAGCTACGACATGATTGTCTAATTGCCAACTAATTTCCAACGAACGTTATTAATCTCTCGTTTCTTTCCTCTTCTTTCGTTCTTCCTCGATAATATGTCTTGCCGCAAGAGTAATCCAGATTGTCCCATTGGAACATCGTGTATGATACGCGAAAAGAAAAGGGAAGAAAAATACGGAGGAGTTGTATTAAATTTTGTTCCAGGGCGGACTATTGGAAGTCTCAAGGCCGTAAATTTTGTGACTTCTGTAAGTGTTGGATTGCTGACAATAAACCTAGTATCGATTTTCACGAAGGCGGTAAGAAGCACAAGGAAAATGTTAGCAAACGACTTAAGGAAATCCACAAGAACAGTGCAAAGCAGGCGAAGCAGAACAAGAAAATCGAAGGCGATATTAAGAAAATGGAGAACGTACGTTCTTTTTATTTGTTAGATGTGCGCGCTGTTGATGAAATAAAAAATGTGCAAGGTATTATTCAACGAGCATTTGAGACAGTTCATTGTTTCTCTTTGTTTCTCGCATTTAGGCAGCTATGGCCGCATACTTGAAGGATGTAGAAAACAATACGAGAGATATGACCGCGGACAGAATCATCAAAGAGAAGTTCAATCGGTTAGAAACGAAAGACGTGAGTATTTGACATTATCTATGTTAATGAAAGCATTGCATTAGTGGAATCCTTCGTCATCTTAATTCGTTTTTGACAAAAGGAAAAAGAAAGGAGAAAATGCATACATTGCAGGTGCCGTTGAATTTCAATCGTGTAGCGACAGCCACTACGGAAACACAGTTTAAGTTTAAAGGTGAAAATCAACAGGTGGGAATTCAAATACCAATCGATCGTTCTATCCTGAACAACCTCTTTAAGCTACTCATCCGTGAAAGCTTTCGACAACTATAACAACAGACATTGTAACATTTCAGTTTTCTCAGGAAGTCGATCCATGCGATCCAACTCTTTCGAGACATACAACGCAACAATCGAAATCTCAACAAAGGGGCGATAATAGGAACCAAGGGAAAAGCAGAATAGGAAAGGGAAAAGGAAAAGGGAAAAGAATCGTGGAAGACGAGCGTCCTGCGAAACCTGTTCAAAAACTTTGGTACGAAGCTCTCAGTCCCGAAGGGTACACATATTACTGGCACATCGAAAGCAACGGTGAGCACATATTATATCCGTGTATGTATGTATATCAATTTCGAACTTTTTTCTACTTCGTTCTTTTCCTCTTTTCCCTTCGTTTTCTTCTTTCTTACTTTTCGCGTAATTCTCCGCTTCTGTTAATTATAGTTCTCTTGGTATACATTTTATACGCTAGAATCCGTTTGGGATCCACCAGAGGAAGGATACATGACGTTCGCGGAACAAGAAGAAGAAGCAAAGGAACAAGCGCTTCAAGAGGAATTATTAAAGCAACTGGAGAAGGAAGAAGCGATCGCAAATGCGGACATCCTCGAAGAGAAACGGGCCAATGCCGAGAGGCAAAAGTTGAAGGAACTGAGAAAGGTACCCGGTACTCAATCACAACTAGGAACAAATGAAAATACAGCAGAGAAAACGGAAATCGGAACCGAAGAGGAAAGCCGACCGTATAGGCGAGACTATAGCATTCCGCTAAAATCGCATCCATATGGACCTTGGCAAACTGTTCAAAAGATGTAAGTATCGTTCTGAAATGACACACGCATACAAAACAGAAAGAGGGTAAAAGGAAAAAATAAAACAACGTTCGAACATGTCCCGTTTCAGCGAAACGAAACCGGTGGATTTTCAGTTGCCACAGCAAAAGCAACTGCAATTACAATTACCCGTCTTCGAGAAAACAGAACCGACGTCGGTGCAAAGAACTTTCAGAGAAAAAGTTATCACGCAAATCGACGTAGCTGACAGTGACGATGATGGACAACCAACTAAATTTAAGAAACGAAAAGTTGGTAATAGAAATGTACGACAGAGATTAACCGATGACTGATAATAATCGTGCCAATGATTAACGTGTATTTGCTCGAATGTTACACGTTATACTCATTTTAATCGCACGAACATATCATTCTTATGTTCTTTAGAAATTACACCGTTCATTTAGCATAAATTATCCCAAGAACTCAATGATTCTATTATTTTCTTACGACTCGTAGATTCTTACTAGAGAAATACAAACAAGATCCAAATAAGATCGTTATATTTTAAGCATGTTTAAAAACAGATATCGCATGTATGAAATGATAATATACGATGAAATATCTTTTTCATCGCTAGTTTATGTAACACAAGTTACATAAAAGACGGCAATTTCTCTTCATTCGATTGATTTTTTGTTTCCTTTTCTGTTTCCTTTCCCGCTACACACCATACGAATGTGTTTACTATACGATCAGGTACTTTGACAAAATCTAATATCTCGTCCGACTGACGAATGGTGAAAAGCGTTATTTACAATGTTCTCAAATTAGTTCAGGTAGCGGTGCACTTCTTTTAGCAATTTCATTTGACGAAACATATTGTTTATTGTCTAGCGCGTAAAAAATACCGTTAAGTCGATCCAAAATTACTTGACGAGGTTGCCCCTTCGTTTCTGGGATAAGAATAAAAATGAACGCGAAAGTAGTCGCGCAAAAGATCCCGAACAGAAAGAAACAGCCGTGCATACCTAACAATACGAGTACACTTGGAAACAACTTAACGACGACGAACGCCATGCCCCAAGCGGTAAACATCCCGAGAGTTACTATGGAACTCGCAACATCTCTGCTAAGTATTTCCGAAGAGATCACGTATGGACCTGGTCCCATACCTAAACCGTATGTGATCATATAAACGGACAAGGCTACTATTGAAATCCAACTGAACTGGCTAACATCGTATCCAAGCGTTTGCAGGTAACAGAACACTCCGAGCACAAAGTGGCATGTACCCATCCCTAAACAGGAGGTTAAAAGCAACGGTCTTCTACCAACTCTTTCCACCAACGTGGTAGATAAGCACGAGCCGAACACTTGAATCACGCCCACGATAATTGCCGAACTGTTTGGTGACAGTGAACTTCCTGATATCTTAAATATCGTTTCTGTATAGCTTATCTACGGAAAAGAAAAGGAACATGTCAATATAAAAAAGCTGATCGACGTATACAGTCGTGCGAATGTTTTCTTACCATAACAAATATCCCGGCAAGTTGTTGTCCACCGAATAGCCCCAGTGTAATGAACAATCCTTTGATCGTTGCTTGGTCTCGAAACATCTCTGACAGCTTGTTCGTCGGTCGTCCCGGAACGTCCAACTCTTTCGCTTCTTCCTGTAAACGCAACATTTCTCGCTCCATCGTCGGCTTGTGTCCGCCTCTCAACCATGTTAGACTCCTACAGGAAATACGAAAAAAAACGTCGCGCCAAAATTGTAAACATTGCGCGTGTTCGTTTGATCGCGAAAAAATTGCCCACGCTTACCTAGCCGCTTCGTTGATTCGATTGCGTCGCAACAAATACACAGGCGATTCCGGTACGAAAGGAAACAGCACGATGTACAATAAAGGTAATGCGAGCATTATGATCGAGAATAACCGATATGAGAGCACAGCTCCAAGTATATAGCCAAGAAGAATGCCGCCATTCAACAAGAATACCAGTAGACTGCCTAACATTCCGCGTATTCCATCGCTCGCGATTTCAGACACGTACAGCGGCACCAAGAACAATACCATCCCACCAGATATACCCGCAAAGAAACGCGCGATAAATAAGTACGTTTGTTGCGTCGCGATGGTAGTAAACAACCAATTGGAACAAAGTGCGAAAGCCATCAAATAACCGGTCATCTTACGCCCGAATCTATTTGCTATCGTGCCGACTATCAAACTCGTTAAAGCAGCTGTAATGCATGTGATGCCGGTCAACCAGGATGCTGCTTCGTCCGTCATCGGCTCGTTACCAACCGGCGGATTCTCACTTTGTAGTTGCGGTATCGTTGGCGATTGCCAACCTATCATTGTTCCAAGCGACAGAGATGAGATGTTTGCTAGAAAAGAACACGTTATTACTTCTAGTTCTCTCTATTGTAAACTATGCCTACCTTCACTCCTATCTATTCGACGATACTCACCGATTAGCGCAACGACAAGTTGTCGAAACCTCCCTGGCTCGTCTATCTTACTCCCCTTCACCATTGTTTCCCTTATAACTTTCTTTTTTCTTATCTATCTCACTCTACCTTTTTCTCGCCCGATTCCCCTATTGCAATTCTTTTTTATCCCAAAACAAAATACGTACTCTCCTGTCTGTCTGTCTGTCTGTCTGTGTGCTCGCCCACCTGCCCGTTCAAAATCCTTAGTACTGGAGAAATTTTCTATTCCTAATAAACGGTTTTCTTTCCCTGTACGTTAACGCAGTCTTTCTGCCGCCAAAACTTCGGTACTTTGTTCAATTTATACCGATCGGTAATCGTTTCATTACCGAACTCGAATAAGTCAAATATAGTTCTCTTATCTTCTATTTCGCCTAGCTCCCTTATTCTGTGTGTACTCGACAAACAATCACGTATTTGTCATAATCACTTTCCCCGCCATCCTTTTTTACTTTTCCATTCTTATTTTCCGCAAATTTAAATTCAATTCTTATAACAATATAAATTCTCATTGTTCTTCCTTATATTTGTTCTTTGTTTTCCTATTAAACGTGAACTTTAATAGTTGTTACAAGCTTACGAAAAATATTTTCAATTCTGCAAATAAAATCGTTTCATTATCGTCACCTCAACATAATTAAACATTCCGCTATGATTTACTGCTAGTTCTGTTACCGGCTCTTAACTCGGGGTTAATTTACGATCTCCTACCAGTATCTTCAAGCGAAGGGTTTTAAATTAATTCATATACTCCCATGTACATATCAATTTTCGGTGCATAATTCCACGTAATTCGTCATGCGACAATACCATGATAATATCACAAATAACTATATAAGTACTTATGTTATATATTGCAATTTTACAATGATAAGTAGAATTCCACTAATTAGAGCGATTATTTGATAAAATAAAAGAACTGTTCATGGCAAATTTCTTAATCATTGCCTAGGCAGATTCGTCCGTCTACAAGCAGCACCTATCGCCTCAATCATGCTGGTGCAATTAACTCTTTCTTTATCAACTACAGTTATAACTTTATGTTTCTATCATCTTGCTTTTAGAATATTGGATGGACAAATAGATCATTTTTAATAAAAGTATTATATAGTTAGTTAAATATGTACAACACATATTTAACATCAGCGATGACTGATAACTATCGTGTGATATTCGATTCGTGCAGGAATGAGTACTTGTGCGAAGAGACGCGACGTACGAAAGTGTTACATTAAATATGTATGTATATATGTATTTGCAACTATGCTCACACTGATGCAGTACGTCAGAACGTATCTGGCTAGATAACAGCGAAGCAGGTATTTAACCTAACAAAACTTTCCTTTGTGTTCTATATCTGCAAAATCGTCAGAATATCAAAAAAGACAAACGGAAATTCACATCATTTCTAAATAAATATTGTTAAATTATAAGAACGAATTTGCATTAAAAATAATAATTTTGTTTTTTCAAAAATCTAAACGGCAATATTGGACTGACAAATACTGGCAATGTTAATTTTAATTAGTAAAGGAGATATTTTTTTAATAACATAATATATTCTTTTATCTCGTCTTTTACTTTACTATACTCTTTCTTCGTTCTTAATCTTAAGCTCTAAACTCCTTAACTTGTTCAACCTGTATTATAAAGATGTCTTCTTAGCAACTGAAAGAAATATTGCAAACACTTTCCATTTGCGTAACACTTCAATTTCGAAAGAAACTTGGAAAAGTTTTATGAATATATACAAATTAAATATGACATTCATGATATGTTTTTATTTGCTATATCACCTCACCTATGATATTATTACATAGATCGCAGTATTTCATGAAACTTCTCTTGGATTGATTGTTACATATTACTTTTCTTTTACAACAACATTTCTTTTTGTTCTTCCTGAAAGATACGCTACGTCTTTCTGTATTCAACGTTGTATTTATACATATCCTGAATCATGGCATGGCACTGCAGTGGAGCTACAAACCAAGAAATGGTAACTAAATTAAAAGGTAAAATCTCTTTGTAATAACTTTGATAAATTGACACTGAGTACCGATATGGCAATATGGTAATATACAGGACTTAATTATGAAATTGTATTTTAGAAGCAGGTATTTTAACAACGGACAGAGCAGAAGCAGCAATGCTTGCTGTAGATAGAGCACGCTATTATCACGAATCAAATCCATATCTTGATCAACCAAGAAAAATCGGTTACAATGTTACAATTAGTGCTCCCCACATGGTTAGTAAACTACTTTATATATACTTATTATTTAGGTTATACACATATTATATAATAAACTATTGTTACACAAATGATTAAAAAATATGTAATAACAAATTTGGATATAATAACTAGCAAAATTATAGAAATTTATCTACTTTAAATTTAGAACTATACCTACTTCTAGAGTAAAACAGACATTGTTTTTCAGCATGCATATGCCTTGTCCATTCTCTCTGACCAATTATTTGACGGAGCAAAAGCACTGGATGTTGGTTCAGGATCTGGTTATTTGTCAGCATGTATGGCATTTATGGTGGGTCCACGTGGTCATGTGGTTGGGATCGATCATATTCCAGAGCTAATAGAAATCTCTACGAAAAACGTAAGCGAAGATTGTCCTCATTTCATCAAGGAAGAACGCATTAAATTTGTAGGTAAGAAAATGCCAAGCTGTAAACACGTTGTTGCAATTTCTATTCACGAATAGTTGGTGTCGGGAAAAAGGAAAAAGGAATTCCTTGCCAGTATCTGGTCTTTTTCCTACGACCTTTGAAAACTTCACATATTCAAGAATTTGAAAATAACGTAAATATGTTGAAGTAAAAAATAATCGTAATCCACCAACGTGGATTAGGTATGTACCTTGCCACGAAGAATCAAACAGGACTGTGTCCACCAACTGCGTGACTTTGTCTGTGCATTATATAAAACATAGACCAAAGACTAACAACAGGTCATTGTAAATGCGCCTAGTGGGAGACGGCCGATTGGGATATGCTGCTGAAGCCCCTTACAACGCGATTCATGTTGGAGCGGCGGCGGAAACTTTACCACAACAGGTACCGCGATATGCCTAAAGATATAAACATATGTATATACCATTACATATTCTTGTAACAAATTATTAAGATTGAAGATTGTCCTGCGTTTCAGTTGATAGATCAACTAACTCCTGGTGGACGGCTGGTTTGTCCGGTCGTTGCCATAGAAGGTCTTCAGAGGTTTCAAGATCTGGTACAAGTAGATAAGAACATTGATGGTACGATCACAAAAAAAAAGCTAATGCAAGTCTCCTATATTCCTCTTACCGATCCTGCTACTCAATTATCAAATGATTATTAATACAATATATTCAAACACTTAGAAATTATATAAGCAACTTTCAGTGTCGAAACGCAAGATTATCATTGACTGATTATGTCGCGATAACAATGATTTTTTCAAAGAATGTTAACTCGAACGAATATATTTCTTTTTTTTCTCTCGCGTTACTTAATATTCTTGAGATAATGGTTTTTTTTACTGACACGTGCAATGATAAAATATATTTTCCATGTATGAACTAGCTCAACGGAGTGTTCGCTTAATAATGTACCACTGGTATTGTTATAATAACTAAGCACATGATTAATGATATACATCTAAGTAAAGTTGATGAAATTCGTTTGAATATTCTGAATTATTTTTCATTGTTCATATATTTAAAAAAAATAACAAATGTATGTATTTAATGGATTATTTATAGATATAAGTTTTTAGTCTTTAGATTAGCTTAGTTTAGTTACATAAATCGAGTAATGTAAAGACAGACTGCTTGAAATTTGGTTTTGAAATTGCCGCCATAGTAGCATAGTGATATTTGTCGGTCCTGTGTATAAAAGCTAACCTAAAAAAAGGAAATCAATGCAACGATGAGGTGTGTCAGCAACGCAAATAGATTAGTTTTTAGCAAAAACTAAAATTATTGGAAGTTATTGGTGGTTTTACGTTGGAAAGATTATCGAATCTATAAAGGATTTCGTGATTCAACAAAGAATACTTTTAAAATTATGAAGTAACAGAGAACATTAAATGAAAAAATAGGAAACAACTTCGAACATTAATTTTCACGTCAACCAAACGAAAACAGTTTGAATATGGTACTTGAGACGGTTAGGATTTGCAATAAGGAGCAGAAAATAATCGTTGGTCGTGGATGTGTTCAAAACGTCGATCAACAAAATTTCTACGCGATGTGTCGGACTAAAATTTGCAATCCAGATTAAATAGAATGCTGCAATTACACATAGAGCGGAAACAGGTAATTAAATCTGTAATTTACTTTTTTATAGCTGTTTTACCGTTGACATTGATAATCTAATAGCTATTATAGTTAAAAGAAACAAATTATTATAAACCAATCATAAATTTTTATTTCGTGTATTTTATCCTGTTTATTTCTAATCAATAGTCGTAAGTTTTTTTTAGATATGAATATCTAAATATGGAACGCGATATAAATTAATACAAATATTAATTTAATATTAAATAGATATCTCTATTCTATTTATCGTGATTTCAAGTTAATATTTGATCCGAATCACTAGTAATTCCAGTCGAAGCTGTAAATTTTTTTATAATCACAATAATTGAATAAAAGATCCTTATTATGACTTAGAATATAATTTAGCATTTAAATCTAAAGTTATCAATCAAAGTTGATGAAACGTAGTTTAACTATGCGTCTAGTTTCTCGTTCATTGTCAATGTCATTTTTCGTTGAATAAATACATATGTATGCATATAAATACATATATGCAGGTTAATTATGTAAGAACATATAGATCTATCTAATATAAAATATTTATATTGATATCATTGTATTTTTATTTATCATTATCTATTATTATCATCCAAGGTTCTTTATTAGAACGTACACAGTAACGTAATTGTGATGGTGAATGAATATATATATACATATACAATTTAATATTTGCTAAAGTAGTGAAAGGATTGACCGGTTTAAGTGGATAGCGAGCAGCAGATTACACAAAAAAGATAAAAAAAAGTAAAATGATTTGTCATGCAACCTTCAACCGGTTTTGCTTCGATTGCCAACTGTAAAAAGTGTATTCGTTAATTTTGCACGTCCAGCTTGGAATGATCATAAATACTAATATTTCAGAATAAGCGAGACGGTATTTTAAATTATATATATATATATATATATATATATACACGTTCGTACATATAAATGAATATTGATGTAAAGTTGGTATGCATCAAACGCACATTTTTAAAACATTCACGAACGTTTAACAATAGTTGTGAGAAAGAAGGTATTCACGAGTATTTATCGCCAACCCGCAGTCTGTCTTCAAATCGATATCGACCGCTGACTGACAGCGAATTTTCTTTTTATGTATGTACATATGTACACACGTTATGTTAGCAAATGTTAGCGAATACCCATAAATACGTTATGTAGGTACGCGGCCGACGGATGCCCGACTTGACAAGCATCTATGCGTACATACATATATCGAAAATCGATTCTGCCAAGGCAAAGAAATGTAATAATACGATTTAATAGATCAAAGGTGTAACGTGATTTGAATAAATTAAAAAAACGCGTCAAAACAAGAACGCTTGTCATCTGATAAGACGTAAAGTAACGATAAAGATACAGAAATATATTTTGTTTTCCTAGAAATATTATGATAGGAACCATTCGATAGCAATAATTAACGACAGTGATTCAATTAAGAATTAACGATTAAAGATAGAAAAGAATGACAAAACGTGGAAGCTATGTACATAAAAATATGACACGATGTGTCGCAACCTTTTAGCAGATATTCGTTCGATATGAAAAGAAACGCGCGTCTGATTCACGGTTCAGTATAACGTCGGCCGTTTCCTTGATAGGAGTTGATTATAATACGATTTCGTGTGTGAGCCACGCCGAAATTTGGTTTGTTTTACACTATCACTTACTACGTATACAATTATATATTTATATTAATTTTTGTCTCCCCTTTTCTCTTAGACTTTCTTTTTTTTTCATCTTTCTCCTCGCCCCCTCTGATCCCTCTATCGTAGCTCTCGCCTCTGTCCAAGTTATTACGATTTTTGAGTCAGCAATACGATAGGAGAGTGTCCCAATATCAGAACTATAGTGACAAGTAGTGGTAATGATTATGTTTTAGCATGTAACGAACCGCGAGGTAATCTAATTATAATGATATTACGTTATAGTTTTAATGGCGCGTCGTGTTCAACGATAAATTTATTGGAACCAGTGCTCATGGCTTTTTACAGGGATTTATCGTCGGTTGAAAGAACACTATATCAAAGCGAAAACAAATTCTTGGAATAGCGAGAGCAAGTTTTTTTTAGTTGATTACTGAATGAACAGGAGACTGGTTCTATACGATGATTCATCAGTTTCCATAGGACTGCGAAGAATCGAGCCGCTTAATAAAACAGTTATATCTTTCAATGACTATGTCGAATCGTAAAACACATTAACTTGAAACGAGGTTATCCGAACTTAACTTAAACTGACTGAACATAGTATAAGCATTCCTATCTGAGTATTTCTATTTCAATATCGATCGTGACCCTGTACACTCTTCTTGATATCGACCTTCTTAGAATGCCCGATGTATTCCGATCCGGTTGCTTAGAAGAAAGCGGATATGTTCGTTCAGCATATTGTACTTTTTAACGTAAATTTATCGATACGGATATTTAATCGCATGATCGAAACAGATTGCTTCAATATCATTATGAAAGAATTAGATCGATCGCGTTTGAAATTTTCCGCGCAATTTTTGCCGCCATGCGATTACATAAACGCGAGACAATTTTAACATTTGAAGGAAGAGAATATCTATTGGAAAAAGTATGTAAGAAATAATCGTAAACAAAGCGAGAAAGTAAAATTTCTTTCTAAAGTTTCGGGAAATCGATTCATATACCGATCGAAATATACAGGGTGGTTCGGTACGCGTGCACTTTATCGCGTCTCGTTATAACGGATCTCACTGTAGATTTTTAAAAAAATTAAAAAAAAAATTTTTATTCTATATTTTCGACTTCTTTTCTCACGTAGAATCAACCCCTTTTCGCTTGTACTGACAGTTACCAATCACCCTGTATACACGTACTTATATAGAAATGTGAGTATAGCAAGATCATCGATAATAGCTTACTGTAATGAAGCGTAATGGTAAACAGTTCGATAAATCTTTAAGTTTATATTTATTCATGGAAAGTTTTATAATTGTTGAAGATAACGTGTTACGTAAGTGCGTACTATTTATCCAAATGATGTGAAACAGAAAAATAAAGTAATTTCTCTTGATCGATATAAATTTCTAAATGAACGACCGTTTGATTTTAAATTGTATAGCTGTCCGGATGGTCGTAATCGAACGATGAGTTGCGCGATTCCTGCAAAGTATACAGGTTTCCGCGTTTTGCATCATAGATATGAAATTGTACCGGTTTGCGTCTTATCGTATACCGTGACAGTCGCGATTATGTATGCACATGATGTACGTATCATTGCACAGTTGTATATCGTTTTCTTGAAATGTCTCTACTTCCTACGATATTTATACTTATTTTCTCCTCTTTATTCTAGTCTTCATTCCCTTTACTTTCTTTTTTCTTTTTTTATCGTTTACACGCATTTCATTTCATTTACAAACATCGAGCGATTTGCTCCTTCGTCTTTTCCACGACTACATAGGATATTTACAGAACATCGTCGGTATTTGTTTGTTACAGCTGTTGGATTGGAACGATTGACGGAATAAACGAGAACAAGAAATCGGTACAACGATGCAAAATTGTTGTGACGATGGCGATAACGACGTCGTCTATAAGGATGTGGTCATTATAGGTACGATTCGCTCGCCAATACGAAATTTGTATCCACTAGGTAACATATATACCTGTACTAGAATCCAAAAGATTCGTAAATTTGCCTGGTGTCGTTTAAAGGAGATACGTTTCCTTTTAAACGCTTCCTTTTACTTACAAGATTATCCTTAAAATTCTAAAAGACAGAAGAGTCTCTGTAAGCCATACCGATCGATCGAATCTTTTGGCCTCTGGTGTAATTAAGTTCGATACGATGGTATTCTCGTTGATCGATTTCGTGATCAGGTAATTCCGTATATGGTCAATATATTAGGTGAAGTGCTACGATCGTACAG